TAATTAATATATTTTTACATTTCATATATTTGCAAATATTAAGAATTTATACTATTTCTATTATACTATTTTAAGTTTTCCAACTTTTGGATATAGATATTTATTTTATCGTGTATTTGTTTATATCTTTTATTATATAGTCATATAATATATATTTAAAAAATTCGAGCAGAATTTTAATTATTTTAATACTTAAATCTACATCTAAATAAATTTATCGGTCACTGCGTAATGTAAATTATGTATAATGTAAAATCAATATACATTAAGAATCTCTGAATAAATTTAAAATTGATTTTACTTTAATTTAATTGAATGAATGTGCGTCAATTTTCATTGCAAGCTATATGTAGCACATATAGGATATATTTTAATACAATAATATTTATATAATAATTTAATTCGTGGCAAGATAATTACATAGATGATTAAAATAGTATAATTAATAATAGTATAATTAATATTATAGTATAGATTAATTAAGATATTAATATGTGAAGAAACAAGTTTTTTACAATATTGCATATTAAAATTTAACTAGTATAGTTTTTAACTGAATTCTTTAAATTTATTTTTTATATTTATTTATATATCTACATATTTTATATGTATTATTATTTGTGAATACTTTTCGGTAGAAAGTATATATAATTGCTATTTATAATTGCCATGATATACAATAGTTCGTTTTATTATTTGTGCATTTAATCTATCTCTATGATTACATGCTCCCAAAATTTTGAACAAAGAACATATCATAAACATCGGGAACATATATGATCGATATTCCAGTGTACAGGAAATGAATCAAAATGTCCGAGCAGATGTGTGGATTTTATTGCTTATTCTATCACTACTCTATTCTGCCATTTATATTTATTTTTAAAGAAAAGAAAACAACATTAAAATTGAAACAAAAATATTAGAAATTAATAATTTTTTAAAGAATGGTTGATAGAAAAACAATTAAAACTCACCGAAAATTTTGTAGATTCCGATCCAACAATTCAGTTTTTGTCTGAAAAAATAGAAATAATGTATGTAAAAATTATGACAAAAGATTTCAAAGATAACTCAGCTGATTTTATTAATACTTTACACACACACACACACACATTAAATAGACAGCACCTGAAATTGTTTCTTAAAAAAATTTTGCATTTGTAAATAAACACAGCTATATTTTTTAAATTATATAATAGAGCAAGTAATAGCTAAAATGGTTTGTTAAGGTTATCATCCTCAATATTTAATATATAATGCTATCATAGAAATAAAGACAGTTTTACGCTGAGTTCGTTTAAATAGCCACCGGAAAAAATTCAATTAGAGAATGGTTCTGTGGTTCCAAATGTATGCAAACCAGCGTGAAATTAATGATCCTTTGATGACAAGGCTTTAGTGAATGATATTTTATCAAACTTTATAGCGTACTTGATGTAGTATAGCAATTAATAGTAATTTATAGTCTTTGTTTTGGAAGAGAAAGAGAGAGAAGAGTCTTGATTTATATTTCGAAATTTGACAATAAAGTAGAAAAGACAAATTAGAAAAGACAATTAAGTTTTTAATTTATTTGTAATAATACTATTTATCATAACAAATGTTTTGTCAAAGTAAAATTAATTGAAAAAAAAAAAAACATTTCAAACAATTTACTTCATCGATTTAAGACGTTTTCTCGCGAGTAAAAGTAAGAATTTCGCCTCGGACAAACTGCGCAAGACGTTCTGCGAGAAAATTGGAGTTGCATCTCCCATGATACTGTTTCGGAAGAAGAAAGAAAAATATATTCTCATTTGGATTGACTCGATGTCGCGACTCCCAGGCGAGAAGACTCGTCGTCGATTCGTTACAAAGGAATCCCCGTGCTACTTGAACGTCTACGCGCCCCATAAAAATGTGCACGGCACTTTATATCGAGCGAGACCGTTCCCACGACACCCCGTGCGCCTTTCCTATGGGAATATTTTATAGGGGTGAACTCGTACGTATATGAACGCGAACGCGTGCGTAAGCGTACGTGTACATGTATACGTATCATATACGGCACACATATATTACACATGCGTGTGCGTCTCGCGAGGCTGGTTCTAACGGCAATCAGCGTGCTCGCATTTTCATTGGTATGGTATACTGATCCTGATGTTATGTTTCACTTTCGATTCCAGCGCAACTCTGGCTAATTAAACGCAAACATCACAAATTCAATTGAAATTCAAAGTGCGAGAAAAGCGCGAAGCTTAACTGAGCCTACATCTTTTAATTCATCAGTTATTTATCATCTGATTTATTTATCACCAATAAATAATTATTCTCATTCTTGATTGATGCAGAAATTAAATGCAGTTTCAAAAATGCATGAAAAGCAAGACAAAAATAAAAATTTTTTATGTAAATTGAATTAAATTGACAATGAGAATAACTAAGAAATATTTTTGGGCAAAATGCAATAAGGATAAGGATTAGATTTATAGATACAAAAGGGTTATACCAACTATAAAGATTTCTCGTATTTCTTTCACATACTGTGGCCTAGCATTTCAAATATCTCAGATTTCTGCCAGATGGTTTCTCAAATATATCCATCAATTCTTCTATAAAATTAAACAATTTAGCATTACTTAAACGATAAAATAATCAGAGAAAAATATATGTTTTCTTATAAAAAGTATGTTTTTGCAAAATTTTTCAATTTATCGCATTGAAGAGCTACAGTTTCGTTCTCGTAAGAATTCTATTTAAAGTATAAGTTTCATTTAAAAATTCGTGTTTTAAAAAAAATTTGGTATGATATTTTCAATATGTATATAAATATAATAATAATTCATAGTAAAAAAATATTAAATTTATAATGACAAATATATAATTGTGTAACTATCTCATTAACACATATTTAATTATCAATGAAAATAAACTTTATTTAATGCAAATTCCGCATTATTTATTCGATATCATCGAATGTTACAAAAAATACGAAAAATATGGAATTTATCCAATATTTAAATTGTAATATTTAAACATTTTTCTCTGTTTTTCTTCTTTCAATATTTAAGTGTATAAAATTGTGAATTAAAATAATCGCCCATAGATGCGAAAGAAAAAGAGATAAAGTGAAAATATAAGAGAAAATAGAATGTTGAAATAAAGAGCCAGCAAAAGGATGCAAGATTGAAAGCGTGAGATTAGTTCTTTAGCATCATACATAATGAAAGAAAATGGTATTCACATTGGTTGATTAAGAAAAAAATATTATTGAATACCTTAGCGTACGTAAATATATAAGAAATATAAGAAAACACTAGGTTGCAAATTGTTAATCTTGCAAGATACGTTGCATTCATTATTATTTATAGTGTGTGTATTATAAATTATAAAAAGCAATTCATTAAAATGTAAGAAAATATCTTTAGCCCAAGCTGTCAATTTTGTAAAATAATATATACTATTTTAAAACAGTCGATGATTATAAACGATTTATACAGTTTTATCACTGCAGAAATTAAAAGAGTACTGCATACATTTCGTGTACATACGAGAGTATGTTTATGATATTATTAAAAATGGTCAGATATGCAAATCACAAATTATTAATACAAATCATAATAAAATATAGTCATACGACCGATCTTGAACGATGAAACAAAAAATTGTCATGCGGACATTACAATTCACTATTAGTGTGTTTAATTTTATAAATATTTTATAGAATAATAGATATTTTATAGTACAGTAACATATTTATTATTTATTACAATTTATTATAATGTAATAAATAATAAATATTCGTTCTATTAAAAATTAAAAACAATTGTTTAAATATGTAAAAATGCATCATAGAGAAAAGAGATTAATGCTTCTACAATATTAATGGAGAAGCAGAGAAAAGTTTCGATTTGTATTATAATTTAATTTTTGCGCATAAGTCTTAATTTTATATAATAATATAAAAACGTTCTGATTTGCTTGAACTTAATAGTGAATGAATTTTTTTATATAATAATTTTTCTGTCTATTTTGAAGTCGAGAGTTATAATATATTAAACTCATTAACATACATTAAAAATAAAATGTCAGCTTATCATTTTATTACTAATATATTATTATATATTATTTAAAATTTATTTCTATAATTATTCATATAATTCCAATGCGCAGTTTCTAACAACCAAGAAAAGTAATCAAAGTAACAATAAAATTATAAAGCTATGATAGAGAAAATTTTATATCTTTTTATTTTAAAACAAAGCAGTATAAAGGGTAACAATGTATAGATATTGTTAACAGAAATATATTTTCTTGTATTAAGATTAAAAGTGATTTAATATCAAAATACAAAAATGAGATCAGAAAGAAAAATCATGACTTTATTCTCTGCACTTCCGGACGATAATGTCCGCATTTAACTGGTGAAATCAATACTCGCTGTGATATGTAAAAGCTGCTGACAAGCGTAAAAACAAAATATTACTGTATATAAAGTATTATCTGACTTACATAAAAATTGTAATATTAGACTGTAACTGTTAGTAAAATAATTTTTCTTTTTTTTTAAATAGAATAATAATATTTAAAATATTATTTATTTGATAAAATTATTGAGCACATAATATTTTCTGTGTTTTCTGTGTTTAAAACTTTCTTTAAAAATTTATTGCATTTATTATTGCACAGAAATAGATTCTATTATAATAAATTATATATTTAATGTATTTGGTTAGAAAAAAATATATGTATATGTATATATATATATATATATATATATATATATATATATATATTATATGTAAAACGCAAAAGATTATCATTAGTAAAATGACGAAACGACAAACATATCCAATACATCATTAAAGTAAAAAGTATGACGTCTTTTCATGTAATATATTTTTTTGTGCGTTGCAAATCATTTTTTATTTAAGCTAATTAGAACAACTGCATAGTAATATGAATGTTCAAAGTTTGACAAGTTAATTTGCATGTCTAAATGATATCTCTTACAGAGGTTGGAGGTGGATACCATATATATAAACTCGTGAGTTTTAGTTTGAAAAATTATTATTATAGAAAAGTTGTGAAGTACAGTACATCAGAATCAACAACAATGTTGAAGCTTATCGCTATAAGTTGCGTCATCGTGGTTGCTTCCGTAAGTATGACAATTTTTAAATTTAAAATAATTGTTTGTATCATAAAAATTAAAAAGCAATTAATATAAAATTGAATATATAACATTTTTAGTAAAAATTACAGATATTTTGATATTTTTATCGCTTTATTCTTTTTCTATGTTACAATTTATATATTAAAAATGGTAATAGCCCCGATTAAAAATAATTACATGTATATATTCGTCATATTTCATTAAAAAAACTAATATATTTATAATACATTATTAATATATTCATAATATGTATATTTGTTTAATTTCAGCTCAACTTTCAAAAAGTAAAAGGTTTTAATTTGGTACCTTCCATACCGAATGTTATAAAGAATCCCATACCGAATATAAAGAATCCCATACCGAATATTATAGAAAATCCTATATCGAATATTATAAAGAATCCCATACCAAATATTATAGAAAATCCTATATCTAATATTATAAATAATCCCATATCGAAGATTATAGAAGATCCTTTATCGAATATTATAAAGAATCCTATAGCGGATATACAGAATCTCATACCAAATATATCTTCAATTAATCCTCTAAAAATAGGAGGAAATGACATCTCAAATATTATAAAGAATATATCAAAGGTAAACATAAGTTTTAATATAACTACCGTAATGTCATATAACTTAATAAAGTTAATAGAATAAATTTGCATTTTTTTCTAAAAAAATATATTATTATTTTTCAAAAAAATATATATTTTTCAAGTTTATTTAATCACTAATACTTTACATCAAGTTTTACACATTTGTTTTATGCATATTTTGATTTATCTATTTCGGAGTATAATGTCCTTTTTTAGTTTTTTCTGTTTATTCTCCTTTCATTATATTTAAGACGAATTAAATTTTATGGGAAGGAGAAGAGCTTTTTTTCTCATATAATGACACTTTACAAATGTAAATTATTAATTTCTTTAAAAATATTTATTGTGACAGCTCGGTGGGGACAGTATTTTAGGAAAAATTCTGAATGCCAGAGCTACATGTGTTAGAGCCTTTACAGAGGGATATGAGATTTTCACTCAATTATCATCGATTTTTAATACCTGCGTAATAAAGCAAATAAAGAAAATACCTTCGCCCACAGCAAACATAAAAAAATTGTCCAATCTGGCAAGTGATGTGCAGGAAATTCTGACGAAAGATGTGCATGATACGTTACAATGTTTGCAGCAATCCCCTGTCAACATAGTTTCATGCCTTAATGTAATGAACGTAAATATATATTTAAAAATTAATTTTTATTTTTACTATTTTAAATATTAAAGTCTTTTTATAATAATGTAAAATTTTTAAACTATTTAACTATGTAATTAAAACTATTAAAATGTAATTGTATTTTAAGTTACAAATTTTCTGCAATTGATGGAATTATGATCGTTAGCAAACTTTTTGAAAAAATCTCTAATGTACTTATTCATTTTTTTCAGATCCCGAAACACTTATATGACCCTAAACTACTTAGCGATGTGATATCTGAGGTCCTTTCGATTTTCCCTTTCAATTTGATCAAATATATCCCAGATATGATATCATGTGGTGAAAAACTGGTTGTTGAGCTTATAAACATACCAAAGCTTTTTAAATTTCTGATCGACGCGGGACTTTGTGTTCACAGAGTTAGAAGTCTTATATAATTATAAATTATTCGTCGATTAATATGACCAGTTACTCTATATTACTACTATATGTACTATTGATTTATATTATTATGAATGTATAAGTAAGTTTTTTTCACACTATATAAAGCGCTATAATTATGCACATACCTTCAAAAATGTAAAAGTAAATAAATAAAAGCAATAATAAAATATTGTTATAACTATTTATCTTTTCAATAAAAGACAGATTTGAGGAATTCATAAAAATAAATATAAAATTGTAATGAATATAAATCTAACAAAAATTCATAAATTTTATTATTCATATGTCTTATTAATATTTAATATAATATAGATTTTAAAAGAGTATTTTTTTTGTTAAAAAATCAAGCTTAAATAAAAAGATGTAAAAGTTCGTTCGATTGTGAAAAGTAATAAGACTGCGCAATTAATTTAAAAAATGGAATTGTCTTAGATGTAATCAATAAATGCAAATAACATATATAAGCATGAGAGAGAGAGAGAGAGAGCAAAAGTGAAAAAATGAGAAAGTTTGATGGAATAAAAAAGAAACTAAAAAAAAATAATGCTAATGAGAAAGAATAAATGAGAAAAATCTAAGAATGAAAACTATTATCTGTAAGTTTAAACATAAATTTATGACAAAATCAGTCTGATGGGAGCGACATATATAAAATCGTCGATTATGAGAGAAGCGATGAAGAACCGATCAATGTCACCATTGAACCACAACGCTTACATTGTTTTCGTTACAGAAGACTACACAATAATCAGACAGTGGAAGAAGCGTTATATGTGCTCATGTTAACCGTATTCACGTTAATCGAAAAGTATCATCTCGCATTGTTTTGTTAAAATGTATTCTTTGTCAAATAACAATAGTTTTTTTTTATATATAACGATTCTGTCACGTTGCATTTGTGAAATCACGAACGATCGCATATTGGATCAGATGAATCAGAGATCACTGCTCCCAGCTCTACGCGATTACTCATTGTTAACTGAGTAATCGTGTTAATTATAATAACATTACTCACAACGTATATACAAAAAAATGATATATACTTAATGCAAATGCAATTTCATGACACATATGTATAATCGGTGACTGCAAGAAAGCGTAAAATATTGTCAAAAAAAAAAATCTTAAAATTGAAATATCACAAAGACGTGTACAATAATTGTACATTAATTTATTTTAGCAGGTATGTATTATTACGATAAAATATTATTTCAGATTATTTCAGATTAGTATTAGAGATTCATTTTTGAATTTTATATATGCTTGATTTTTTTTATAATGTGCACACAATGCGCCTGTGTATATGATATAATAATCGATTATGTTACTAGTCATAACAAATGATTATGGTAATATATTTTATCTGTTATTTAAATTTGCATTAAGCAATAAATTGAAGTATTGAATAAAATTCGACACACGCAACAAAGCTTTTCTGTTCTATTAATAAACAGGCTTTTTATAATATTATAATAATTATTCGGAAATATATCTAAAATTAAAAATAGAAGTTGAGCATAAAAATGTATCCGCTCATTGTTTAAATAAAATTAATATATTTGTTTTTTTTAATAAAATTTCTTTTAAATTCACGTTTGCAATATGTTCTTTCAATTATAGGAATAAACAATAAGAAATTCTTATAAAACAACGTAACAAGGTGGTCGCAGTTTACTCGGTACAAAGCGTTTTGTCAACAAACATGTCGCAAGAATTGATAATGTAAAGTAAAATGCCTGAATAAAATTTATCAATCTTTTGTTCCAGTCGTATCTTCATTGACAACGCCTGACTAAGATCAAACCTATCTACACTGCGTATAGAATGAATATTTGCGCCTACGTATAATACTTTGTCTGTTTATAAATGGTTTTATAATAAATAGATATTGCTAATCTATCATTTCTTTTATGTAAAATATAAAATTTAATTATTATGTATGATGTAAAAAATATTCTTTATTTGAAAGCAAATAAAGCTTTTCCATTTTTTTCTTTAGATATTGTAACATATCACAAAATAAATCCCTCTCTCTCTCTTTAACATAATTATTTATTTTAATTAAAAATTTTTAACATTTTTTTATCTAATATAAGAATATTATAATTTATTTGAAATAGCTGTAAATATTTGTTAATAATAACCAAATATTAAATCTATTTTTATTGAAAATAGATTTAAAATTTAAAAATTTGTTGTAGATAAAAACTAATAAAAATGACTTCTTTGAATGATTTTGAACTAAAATTGTTAAACGAGTATTTAGGCGTCTACGCAGAAATTTGTGCGCATATATATAAACATCTCGTTAAACGGAACTCTTCCGAGCCTTGTTTATTAACAAATAAATTTTTTTCTGTCGTAAATAATCTAAAAGTAAGTAACCATATTCATAATGTTTGGCACTAAACACAGGAACAACTGTAATAATACTAAAGAAATGTTTTGTAATTACAACAAAGATCATCTTTTCAACAAAGCGTACTTAAACATTTTTTATTCAGAATCTATAAATAACTTATTTTCTTCAATTGATAAAACAATAAATCATATAACTGTGTTTTACATTAAATTTTTTATTTTTATTGCTGCAGATTTTATATAATCTATTTGATCTGAATGTTTTATGTTACCTATTATTCGAGTAACAATAATAAAAATTTGATATAAAATTGAAAGAATAAATACTGCAGCAAAGAAAAATAAACGCAAAATATTTTTAAAATAATTTTTCTCTTCTTTCTTTTTTTTAAAATAATGTTTTTTTCAGAATAACATAACCTTGATTGAAAAAAAAACAAAATTTCATAAAAAATTCAATTTTTGAAAAAATTGTAAGAAGAATCGTATCAAGATGAGATTCTATCTTTCTAATAAAAATTTATTTTTAGAGATGTTATAAATTCTTTGAGGTTGTAATAAAATGTATCCAGCACGATTCGAAGAAAGTACATATGTATGTAGAGGATATGTTCATATAAGAAAATCACTGATAACACAGGCACGAGAAAGTTACATGTAATACCGTTTTTTTTACGAGTTTGGTTGCGCAATTTTTTTCTCAAAATAAAATGATGGAATACCTATTACGTTTTTTATGTAAAAATATTAGTGTGCGTTCAAATGGAAAGCAATAAAAAAAGTATCTTTGGATTACAATGTACATATCAATTGCTTATTAATAATACATTTATTTCTTGAGATTTACGAGTTTGGAAGGCATGCAATATTAAATTTTAATTTCATATTTTCGAACAAAACGTCATATCTTCTAGTCATTAATTTCAATTCGAATATTCCACAGCATCAGGATGAGAGGCTGTCATTCTCAAGTTTTTTGATTATTAACAGAGTGTCACGGGAATAGAATAGACTGACTCTGATCGAACAGCATTATGTCACGTTTAATTAATAAAATATTGTCGTTATTAATCTTGTATTTTAATTTGTCAACCGAACATAAATTTGACATTTGTAAAGTTTGTATACAATTGAAATTTGTTTAAAACATGTATTTTGAAATTTATTTGATTGAAATCTGTCGTGGAATTAGTTGATAAACTATATTTTATATATTAAATTGCCCTAAAATATAAACGTATTATATTTAATAGAAATAGCTGTTGCAAATAATGGATAAAATTTTCCGCATAATTATTGAATGCCAAGCAGATCATAACTTTGTTATGACGCTAATTTTCGCGTTGTTCTCTTGTTGCAATATACACATAATAAAGTGCGTCATGTGAGATCGGGAGTGCCGTAATGTAAAGTACAGCGCGTTTGTCTCTTGTTGATCAGTGTGCTCATAATTAATGTGTTTTCGCAAATGAATATCATGTGAGTGCTACGAAAAAACAGCAAAGGATGAACAAAGAAGTAAGTATTAGATATCAGCAAAGCAATCGTGAGATAAATAATAAGTTATAACTTACTTAACTTTTTAACGAAATTAATTATGTATTTCTGTGATTTATTTTATATTTTTGTGTAATATAATACATATAAAATATAAAATATTATGTAAATATCTTCAATATAAAGATTATAAATTCTTTTATAAATATATAAATACAATTAAGAAAAAGCCTTGAGATAGTCTTAGTATTCTTTTATAAAGTTCACACATTTTGTTGAATTTTGAAAAATAATGAAAACTGAATCTACTCGAAAAAATTATTGTCTTATTTTTTTAATAATCATAAACATGATTATATGTGTATTGCTATAAAATCTAAAATAGAAAATAATTTGTTTACAAGCGTAATAAAGCAAGAATCTCTATTAAAAATATAGTGGTTTACACATTGAACATTTATCTATTTAACAATATTTAAAATTACTGTTGCACGAAATATTACATGACGGAATTATCGCATTATCGACGCGATATATTGTATTTTGGATAATACATTTATCCGATACTCTTTTCGGCACTCTCGATACTACACATTTACTTGAAAGCGATTTTCGCCTAACTTAATTTCTTGGTAATTAAATCAATACTTTAATGATGCCTGGGGCTACAATCGCGTGACGTAACTGTCTCACATGACACACATTTTGATTTTTATATGTAACACCTATTTTTTTAGATACTATAATTTTTCTATTAAATATCTATATATAAGATGAGTGAAAAAATTTTCATTTTTGTACAATAATTTTTTTTGAAAAATTAATAATTTTAGAATTACTTTAATTTGATTACATTTCTATTTTTCAGATATACGTTGTGCATTACTACTCAATTGTTGCTTCATCGTACTGGTAAGCCCTTAATTATTTTTATTTTAATCTCGTGGTAATGAAAATATAAATATATAATATCAGATATATATTCAGTAGAAAAAAATAAAATGTTATTTTAAAATATCTGTATATTTATATAAAATTATTTTAATATCTGAATTTATTACTTATTTCTATAATTATTATTGTACTTCAAACAAATTTAATTTAAATAAATAAAAATATATATATAGATTCATTACCTCGAAATAATTTGTCAAGGGTCAAATGAATTTCGTATGTTCCATAATAATATTTTGCATATATGTACGAAATTAATAATTTCTGGCGTTTTGTGTTACAAAATGTATTATAAATATTATGGTGCTCTTTGAAGCATTAAGAGATTAACACCTATAACAAAAAAATATATTTTTCTATTGAATT